CTTATGATGGTCCCTGCAAGAACTTGTGGTCCGGGAGGAAGTGTGTGATTTTGCCAATGTGTGGCTGTATTTGTGAGTCTATGGAGGAGAAAGGCAGAGAGAGAGACAGAAGAGAACTGTGTGTCCTGTGCACTCCCAGGTGATGCTACACAGAGCTGGGCAGGGCTGTGAGCTGCAGGAGGGGCTGAAGGGTGGGGGAGGAAGGGTCCCTGGAGAGGGGAGGGAGAGGGAGGCTATGGCCAGCCTGAGGTGAGGGGAGCAGGGATTGGGGTGAAGGCTGAGACTCAGAGGGGCCCAGGAGTGCAGGCATCTTCCATTGGGGAGCAGGTGCAGGGACATTGGGTGTCAGCGGTTGGGGTGCTGTGGGGAGGCTACTTACAGCCTGGCCTGGGCTTCCAGCCTTCTCTACAGAGGGCCCAGGAGACACAGTGCACTGTGTGAGCAGAGCACCTCAGGGGAGAGGGTGTCAGGGTGATCTGGTGGGCAGGGGTGAGGGGCCTGTGAGTTTTCCCAGGGCTTCCTTTAGGGCTCCTTGGCTTGCCTGGTGCATATCATTTTGCATAGCTGAAGAGCTGATTTTTAAATATTGACAAATTCAGTTCTCTTTTAATTGTGGGTTAGCAGGATTTGTTTTCTTGAATAGTAAAATCTGAAAGAATATTCGAGTGTTTTTGGCAAAATGGTGGAATATTTGCATATAATGTATGTATATCCACCCTTATATATTAAATCATGTGTAAGCTACACATAATTCCTAACACACAGCAAATGTGTCAACATAGTTGCTAGATTGTTTAGGAAAATGGACAAGAAAAAAATAAAAGCAGTACACACAGAGTTTTTCAAAATTTTTGCTATAGGGATGAATTTTCCAATTAGAAACTCTCCGATATAAATGTACACCCATACCCCAAAATATTATATTTTCAATTTTTAAATTTAATTTGTCTGATTCATATATTTTGTGACCTTTTTCGTGATACATGTATGCAAATCATATCCAAATTTCTCCTTCCCTGGGGTCTTAATGTTTTTTTAAGGATTTTTTTTTATTCTTCATAAAAAATATTCTTACATTTTGTCTCTATCTTAGTCAAGGTTTTCCCCATGTTCTGATTTATGCTTTGTTTCTATTAATAGTGTTCCTGTGAAGAATGTACACATTTTATTTAATAAAACACGAGGCAACATTTTTAGTAACGATTTAGCAGCAATCTTGTCGGTGATTCTCTGGTGTTGGGAAAATGCTCTTTCTTTGGAAAATGAATCACTGAGGGTGGCACTGACAGGGACGGTAACAGGCACGGAGCACACATATATTATTA